CGTCCCCCCGGCCCCGCCGGTGCCGAGGGCTCGCCCCGGGCGCCCTTCCGCTTCCCGCCTCCCAGACCCCCGACCGAGTCTCAGGACGCGCACTGCGGAGCCAGGAGCCCGTCCCCAAAGTTTCCCCCTCCAGGTACCTAATTGAATCATTCCGAGGATGACAAATCCGCCCAGGCCGAGATTCCCAGACACAGGGGTGATTTCCTCATCCTCGAGGTGACTTGTCAGCTCCAGTGAGTAACTTGGAACTGTCGCTTGGGGCAAGGTGTGTGTCTAGGAGAGCGCGGCAGCTCACTCACGCTTTCCAGAGAGCGGCTCCGACAGACTTCAAAATACACACAGGGTCATTTATAGGGACTGGAGCCTTGCGCGGGACAAAGTCCCCGAGACTGAGACATTTTCCAAACAGTGCTGACATTTTGTCGGGCCGCACACAAATGTAAACGCGAGGTGACGAAGCGGCGGGGAGCGTGGGCGTCTCTGTCTGCGCGTCCGTGGCGTGGGAGGTCGCAGTTATAACCTAGCGGCTGCCGGTCGCCCTGCGGCCCCCGCCAGCCCGCGTACCTACTCACGCCCAGCACCCCCGAGACCGTGGGGCACCCGCTTGGGTGAGGCACGGCGTGGAAAGCCGCCTTCGTGGAGCTGTACAAACACGTGGAACCTGAAAAGGCAGCTAACTGCACCCCGTGTGAGCGCGGAAGACCTCGCGTCACCCCATCAGCTCCCACCTCGCCGGAGTTTCCCCTCTGCGAGAACTGGGGCTGGGGGCTGGGGCTGGGGTTCGTGCCCGAGCGTCCCGTAAGCTGCCCTGACTATACAGCCTGCTGGGACCTATAGTTTACAAGAAACGCAAAAACTCTGCCCAAGGAGCGAAACTTTCACACCGTGTTGATTTCCTTTCTGTGTCTCCGCTCCGGGCTCTTAAGGAACTGACAACGCGGCTCGATTCCTCTTGGAGGGTTGCTGTCGACCTCAATAAGCAAGCGTAGGTCTCTTAAAAACACACACACCCCTCTGAATCTGGGGGTGGGGAGCGCGTGTCCCTAAACCCGCCCGACCGCCAGCGGCTCGGCGTGGAAAACTATTTCTAATCCCTGCGAGTTTGCGTCCCGAGCCGTAACTCCCCCACACTTTCGCACTCTCGAGCGCCTCGCTTCTCCCGTCTCCCGCCCGCGAACAAAGTTCCTATGGCATCCACTTACCAGGTAACCAGGCTTTCCACAACAAAGCTCGGCGTGCGTGGCCCTTCCCCGGGCCAGCCGGTGCGAGTGACAGCGGGCGGGCGGCCGGCGCTGGCGCGGAGCAGCCCGGGTCTCCAGCCCGTCAGCGCGCTTCACCCGCGCTGCCTCGCTCGGAAATGAGAACTCCCATCCAAGCCGGGGGACGGAGCTCGGAAACCCGGCCCAAGCGCCGTGTGTGCGCGCGCGTCTGCGAGGGCAGCGGCGGCAGGGGGAGGAGGAGGCGGGAGGCGGGTGGCTGGACCCTCGGCATCAGCTCATCTCCCCGCTGCACACGCTCACGCGCAGATGATGTTTGTTTAGAAAGTTCACTTGCGACTTTGTGCCTCGCCTGCCCCGCTCATGCTCGCCCCGGGGCAGGGGATGTGTCCAGGGCCGGGGCCGAGATGCTGGTTAATTGCTCCCGGCGGGTGCCATCCGGGGAGCACCCGGGCGAGCCTGGAAGACGGCCAGCTGCCTACCGGGGTGCGGGGGCGCGGAGGTGGCGGCCCCGGGCGCCGGTGTCCGTGCGCGCCGCGCTCTGGGCTGCCCGGGCGGCGCAGTGCGGACGCGGTTGCTGAGGGGAAGGGGAAAGAGGGAGGGCGAGAGGGAGGGCGGCTGCCCAGCGAGCAGTGTCTGTGTGCGGCTGCGAGGGCCGGCCTGTAGCCAGCTGCTTCCTGAGTGTGAGCGCCGGAGGGGGATGGGGGCGGGCTTGCGGGTCACCCGGCCGGCCAATTCGAAGGCCGAGCCTGTGTCTCCCCCTCCACACGTTCACACACACACACACACACACACACACACACACACACACACACACACACACACAGTCTCTGCGAGCCTCTCGAGCGCCTAAGAGTCCCAGAACTCCCGAGTAGGGTAATAGCAAGGAGACCTTTGCCTTCACCTGGCCTTATTTGTTGCATTTTTTTAAAAAAACATGAAAAAGTGTGAGCCTTTTTATAGGATTTGATGTCAAATTATAAAGAAAAAGAGAAAAAAATATATCCGGTAGTAAAAGACAAAGTAGAAGTAAAAAATGAAAAAAAAAAAAAAAAACCCCACAAAATTGGGGTTCCCAAGACAGGGTTTGAACCGAAAGTGATGCAGAGAGGCGCTGTTAGCATCTTTTCAAGCTGTGGAACCTAGGGAGGTGACGGAAGTGTAGCTGGGGTACGAAGGGGAATACAGGCTCTGTTGCTAAGTGGAGGCCCCTACCCTGCATGATGCTGATGTATCTCCTTAGAGGTGCTTTCTCCGTAAGATTTCGGGCCTTCCTACATTGCCTAAGCCTTGCCTCCCCTTTCCGACTGGCATGATTACAGCCCTCAAATCTCCGCATATATTCCCATAGAGGCTAGGACTTTCAACGTGAGAATCAATGTACATATTGCACACGTATCTTCTACTTAGGCCTTGCTGTAGTGAAAGAATTATCCACCCTTGTGAATTAAATCAATGCAGGGGCCACAGATGCTTAGAATGATTCTTAGAATATAATCTGCTCTCACTCAAGTATAAATTTGTGTTAAAGTGGTAGATGCAGTGACCAAGATGATAGAAATTATTTACCCCAGCAAACCCAGCCAGAAAGAAGCAGCTTTCATGTATCTTAGTTCAGGAGCAATATTACTAGACTTGGTCTTTATCCGTGATATTAACATCCCCTAAAGAAGTCCAGTTTTCGTGATACTCTTTTATTTTATGATCCTCTTTTCCTTTTCCTCGGGACACAGACTCATCAGAATGTCTATCAGAAGTGGAGGGAGAAAAAGAAGGACTTATGACATGTCATTCTACAGTTTTCCAATTTCTTCCTCTTGTCTTCATTTCCTTTTTAATGCAAATAACGAAGACCAGCATGTCAATAGATGGGTTCAACCACACATAAGAACAAGAAAATACTCATAAAATGAAGCATGCAGCAACCTCACAAAAACAAAGAAACCAAGTGGTGGAAATTGCCATGACTATTCCACTGTGGCTAGTTATTGCAACATGCCTGACATTCACATAAAAACTCCTCCTCATTAACTCCAGCCTTCAGGAGCAGAGAAAGATGGGAACAGTGACCATTCCACACATCATGGGAAATTCTGTTCATCAGACTCTTGTGCTGTGCAACTGCAGGAACAATACAAGTCTGGATGGAAACTGGAAAAAAAAAAAACCACTATCCAATGACCCCCCAAATCATTTAAATTACAACGGTTTTGATGCATGAAATCCTAAGGGTTTGCAGATGCTTCCATAACTTTTTACTTGGTGGGAATAGTAGAGCCCAGAGGGAAAAAAAAAAAACCATAGACCTACCTCCCACATTAATCAGTGGCTAGTGGGAATAAAATATTGGGAAAATTAGGAGTCATCAGCCTGGAGATCCCTAAAATTCTCTTAATTTACATAAATCCAAGGGTGAGAATGGCCTTTTATTTACATAAGACTTCTATAAACCTGTAAAATTCTGAGAACATTTACTATAAACTAGGTACAGTGCTTTGATTGGATATTTCTTCTTTTTGGCCAAGAATGCAGATCTGCAGTGTTGTTCTATTCCATGAGAATAGTAAAAATCTAGTGCTACCAATTCAGCCCCAGAGTGACTCACAGTGAGATTTGTACCTCTTCTAGGTGAACTGGTCAGCAGGGAAGTGGGAGGTGGTGATGAGAGATAGTGGGAAAGGAAGTAAAGTTGTTCACAAAGTACATTCTCCCCTCCCCTGGATGAGCGTTCCCTCCAGGAACCAAGCCCTGGCAGTCTTTCAGCCTGATAGGTGGGAACAGCAGCCCAGTCAGTATCTTTCCTCTCTGGAGACCCATGTTGTATGTGCCTTAACTGCTGACTCAGGGCAGCTGACTCAGCAGACAGGGCCCTGCTGCCAGCTCATGTCCAGTCCTCATTCATTTGAGAAAAATTCAATGAGTATGTACTACTCTGTCCAAAGACTGAGATGAAAGGAATTTATACTTGTAAGCATCATACAGGGGAGAAGATTATACAAAGCCTTTTTGCCCAGTGTCTGGATTATAGCAACCTATCAAGGAGTGGGGGCTCTTTGCATATATTATCTCATCTTTCTTCAAAGAATTGTGTGTTCTTTAGTAAACCTGTATTTAAGAGCAAGGATGGTGAAGCTCAGGAAACAAAGAGAGACAGGGCCAAGTTTGCCAGTTTGGAAGCCTCAAGTTCTTTCAACATTGCTGTCCTACAAAGTAACTGTATATTTGCTTTGAATATGCAAAGCGTATTGCTGGAGCAAAAAGTGCAAGGCAGCTTGCAATTAGTGTTGGGTGAGCACAATTAAGTATGCAGGGAGGGGCTGGGGATTTAGCTCAGTGGCACAACGTTTGCCTGGTAAGCGCGACGTCATGAGTTCGATTCCTGGTACCGGAAAAAAAAAATCAAAAAAGAAAAAAAAAGTATGCAGGGAGTGTGGAGGAGGCAGTGATAATTTCCTGCCATGTGGCATGTAGTAGCCCCGTTGTTCGAGCTGGACCCCAAACGATGAGCAGAGAAGTGATAAGCAAAGCAGACCACCCCAGGTGAAGGGATCAGCCTCAGAAAGTACACAGAAGGCATAGATCCTGTGTAGCTGCTCATACAAAGCTAAGGTCAAAATAGCAACATTCAGGACCCCATAGCTACAGCAGTAGAACATTCTCAGAAGGAATACCCTAACGGCAAAACTTCAGGAGAACTGTTATTTGTGTCAGTCTGAGTAATCTCACAGCAAAACATTTACAAATGTGCAAAGAACTGTGATCAGATTCCTACTCTTGTAGAATGTCTGTAGAGAGAGATAAATTTAAGCCCCAAAATAGATAAGTTGAGCTAACAGCGCTGGTGATAGTATGTCTAACTATTAGGACAAACACACACTCACATACCAGATGGCAGTAGTCCAGTTAGGTAGAAATGCAGTGGAAAAAGTCAGTGTTTGCCAAATTAAAGAGGAGAACCGAATGTGTCAGATAGAAAATTTCCATTGTACCTTCCTGAAGAAGTAGTATCAACGGTGGAATGCATCACATTTCACATTATGATATCAGTGTTTGATACCCTAATGAAGTATTAGTTGCTCTTCCTATTACTTTATCACAAGTGTGATCAACCTAGATTTTCCTGCTCACCTATCTTTAAAACTTCTTGTTTATAGCCGGGCGTGGTGGCACACGCCTGTAATTCCAGCACTCAGGAGGCTGAGGCAGGAGGATCCCTGTGAGTTTGAGACCGCCCTGGGCTACAAAGTGAGCTCAAGTCCAGCCTGAACTGCATGGCGAGACCCTGTCTCAAAAAGACAAAAAATAATAATAATAATAAAATGAAACTTCTTATTTATAGCCATTACATGGACATCATCATACCTCTTTTCCCTCCTAAGATCAAACTAAATTGGTGTCTAACGATACTCAATGTATTAATTATTGTAACTCTCCTACTAACCTGTTTTGAGACTGCTTTATTGTTATTTTTTCTTTTTAAAATAAATAAATAAGTGTCTAAAACATATCACTAAACACAATTGACCAAAATGTGAAACATTTTATCCTATACACTGTATAGCAATCTTTCCTGACTGTACATTTTTTCCTCCCCATTTGACATAAACCTAAGATGGATGTAAAATTCTATAAGGGTTGACATTTTTTTCTTTTTTTCTTTTTTCTTTTTTTTTTTTGCAGTATTGGGAAGTGAACCCAGAGCTTTTGCACTGAGATACATCCCCGCCCTTTATATTTTGAGACTGAATCTTGCCAAGTCCCTAAATTACCCAGGCTGAGTTCAAACATGTGATCTTCCTGCCTCAGCCTTCCAGAGTGTACCACCACACCAGTTCAGTAAGATAGTTCTTGGTATACCTGTGAATTCTTTGGCTTTCCCTTTGCTGCGCACAATGTCCAAGACTCGTTACTTAAGAAGGAAAAGCTTAATTTAGCTCAAGATTTGGGGGAATTTGGTTCCCAGTCAGCTGGCTCCAAGGCACTAATATCACAGCAGAAGAGTGTGGTGGAGCAAAGCTGCTTCACTTGTGGCCACCCAGAGCAACAGGACAGACAAGAGCCTGCGTGATAACCAAGACTATGCCTCCATAACCCACCCAGACACACTCAGGAGCAGGTTCTACTAATCTGCTAGGAGCTCCTTCACCCAATGCAGTTGACATACCAAGATTAAAGGTCCCAACCTGTATAGAGCTTATCTAAACAAAATGGATCTCTGTATACAGTATTGTACAGGAAAACCAGCTATCCTTTTATACTTAACATCCATACTGTCTGCTTACATATCTATATTATCCATAACTGTTTTCTATAAATGTCTTCTAAGGGCTGTATCTTACTTCTTTTTGTAAGCCTTTCATGGCCTAGCAGTCATACTGGCACAACTAAATAATTAATGCTAATCAAATGAATGGATTTATTAATGAGGAAGTTAAAGAATAGTTTCCCTACTTTCAGAGATGGTGAATAGCAGTAGTAACCTGTGTGTGTGGGGGGGAATCATTTCAAAACTCGAAAAGAGTATAAATATCTGTCCTGTTTCTTTATTCCCAGGTTCTTCATTTTTATTTGTTTGGTTTTTTTCTTTGATGAACAAAATTCAAAGTTTCTATGCAATGCTTAGAGTTAGAGGGGAAATTCCCTCCATCCCCGGCCCAGTCTGAC